CAAGCACACAGACAAGGCGTTGAACATATCCTCCCAATCACTGCTCGACGTCATCTACCGCGACGACGATTTTACGGAAGCTAGGTTGACAGCGTACATCGCACGCCTGACACCCCACTCACACCGTTGGCGGTATCTTACATTGTACCTTATCAACAAACCAAAGATATTGAAGGCTCTGTTTGAAGCTCCTGCTCCAAAACTAGATGATCTGTTCATCTTCGCCTACGCCACCCACATACTCGACCTCGCACCCCTTGTTCCTTCATTTTTCACGGGTGTGCACCCCAAACTTCGCAGTATCACACTGATGAATGTCTCTATACCATGGAAACACGCGGACCTCAAGAATCTTGTCCAATTTCATCTCTCTGGCGTACCAGTGGTGCCGGATGTGGGGCGGATGCTCGCGATACTGTCCGCCTCGCCCGCCATGCGACGGTTCCAAATCGATCGTGTACACCCCGAACCTGTGCCAGAGATAACTCTTTGGGATATGCAAGCCAAGCTTCCCCAGATGCAGTTCTTTGTAATGAAGGGTGTCCCAACTGTCGCGGGGAAACAGATACTCGGACACGTTTTGCTACCGACAACGGCGGTCGTCAGGACGGATTAGTGGCTAGTGTACGGATGTTATGAGTAGGTGTGTCATACTCTGTTATCGTCATCATATCCGTGACATTCACAGTTACGACAAGGTTGTGCAGAGATACCCCTTTCCTTCTTCTGAGTACACTTCTTCTAATTATGTTGGGTATCCTGGAAGATTGCCTTTGGGTAGGTGCGAGTGCGAGGAGCTTGGTGCTTCGTCTGGTCTCCGTCGGATTAAATAGGCTTGGTACGTTTTGTGGGTCAATTGAAGGTGTGTTGAGGTACCATCCAGATCAACATGGCGACGGTAGAAGTGAACTGATTCGCCTCCCCCTTGCGTCTATTTTACTTCGATCGAGCTTGTAATTCTTGTTCTATCCACATATTTTCGTAGTTTGATGTCCAAAATGCCAAGCCACCTGCCAATCCGAGTTTCCTGTCCCAGGACTCCAGTACGTAGCCAAAACCCATGAAAGAAATTGGCCCTAAGTTGCGCAGTTGAGGAGTCGATTGGAAGAGTAATAGCTACTTTGAGGATGCATACATGAATCCGAGTCGCTGATCATCGACCTATGAGTGGTGCGTTAGTAAACCCACTGACCTATATTCCCTATGCCCTTTGCGAAACGTTTCGAAATTTCCTTGTCCCCTGGCTCGTACGGCTTACACTAACACGACCCAAGCTTAGAAAAGTCCACCCGAGAGAGAGCGAGGGAGGTAGGCACGCAATACTCACAATTCTTCATAATTCTGGAAATACCCCACGATGAAATATAACTGGTTGTACTCGTCTGACACCCGGCGACTTCCGTATCCAGCACGCAGCGCCTTGGCATCGACCAGTAACTTGCGCCACGTTTGGACCCTCGGGTCGGTCTGGGGCAGCGATCCCAACAGCCTGTTGAAAGGTCAACTTGGATATCAGGTGACGGACAGAAGTATCAACGCACGATTCATCGACATCATTGATCGATATCAACCAGCGGTAAATTACGTACGAGATCATTTCGTATAACCTTTGGACGGACCTTTGGATGGCATCCATCTCTTCTTTCGTAAACTCGCCACCTCCTGGAAAACGAGTCGGTTACCTTCAAAATGGTTCGTATCGTTCGTATCAGTTTTACTCACTACTTGACGGCGAGGACGTCCATGTTGAGGGGTAAGCCAAAATCTATCATGCCGCCCTGACCCGGCCAGACCAAGTGCGAGTTGTGATGCTTCAACGCGTCGTCAATTTCAACAAGGAGTTGTCGGACCGTTCGCAGGGGGTCCTAGTAGGGACGTTCGTAAAATTCTTCAATGGCATCAGTGAGAAGAAGGATTTCGGTGGGGATTGAGGGAGGTTAGGAAGGTGTGACGTACGGATTTCCCTTCGTGTTCCACAAGTCCGCAAGGACCTTGTTTATGTCGTCCTTTTCCAGTCTGGAACATCGTCTGGACTCCGAGGCACGACGGTCTTCCTGATGCATTAAAAAACAGCGTCAGGGTTTCCAAGTTCACTTACAGCGAAGAATGCGAGTTTGGGTGTATAGAGCACGAAGCAAAGCATGTGCCTCGAGGGACCGTCCAACGTCGTTTGGTTTGCCTGAATGGATAGCTGTGGGAGCGGCAGAAACGCAAAGAGCCAAATCGGAGAGAGATAGTCCACACCATGGTGGTGTCTGCAGTTATTAAAGGCTGTAGGGTAAGCCGGAGTAGGACTTGACGTTGAGACTGCGAGACTCGTCCTTAACCCCTGTACTTATACGACGACCCAAAATCACAGAGAAATGGTGAACCACCGCAGTCGCCAATACGCGTTGTGCTGAAAAGATTGGCGACTCGTTGCTGCAACATGCAATCGACTGGCGATTGTACCGGGTGTGTAGACCGTTCTCTTGAACGTTTGAACGTCCTGGCAATCTGAAAGTTGACTGACTTGCAGTCTAACAGGCCGGCGTGAACCATCCATACCCGAGGGTATGATCCGTTGTTGCCGAAGGCACGGCATAAGGCACGGCCGCACGGTCAACTCGCACGATATCACCCTTCGCTGCCTCAGTACTCAACGTCGCCAACTGCACTGCTTGAACCGTGAGGTAGGACGAAACAGCCGCCTGATAGCAAGGCAAAGGCGTACCTCTTTCTCTTAGGTCGAGGTGGTTCCTGATGTTGTTAGACCTGGGCACGTGGCGGTCAACGCGTTGAGCTGCATTCCTCATACCTGTCGCGACTGACTTCCATTTCTTCCAGCCCGATTCCTCTGTAAAATTGGTCATGACAGAACCATACCGAAACGATTGTCAAGACAAACTTCCGGCGCATGGTTCTAAAACCCTTCGAAAGACCTTTTGGAAACAAAACAAAACAGCACCGTGTCTCCGGGGGGGCACATAGTACCTGTACACACGTTTGTCGGAACTTTACTTTTCATCCTTTTTGTTTCAGATCAAGGCCTAGCTATAGGCCGACAGGGAAATATACACTTTATGTACATGCCAAAGGCATTTTGGTTATTATCGTTCCCTTGCGTCGTCGAAATAGAACGACCAATTGCTTCTTCATTCAGTATTGGGCGTGAAGCCAAGGTACTGTATGACGAGGTCAGAACCGCAGTCAAAAATATCGTGGAGAGTCGACTCGTACAACTTCGGTGAAGGTGACTCCAGGAAGGTACAAAAGGTCGCCACTAGGGGTGGCCCGTAGATCCAATGCACCTCCTATGTAGATTTCACATTGGACCTGGGTGTTATCGGGATTTGTCCATACAAAGGTGAGCTGCTCGTCAGCCGGAAAATCGGGATTGGGAGCCGCGCCCGTATGCCTGACGGGGTCATGCGTATGTAGTGCCCTCGTACGTGCGACGATGCAGCCAACCTTACCATACAGATGACTACTGTGCCAAACGTGAGTTGAGTTCGGGTGTTTGTCCCGTATTCAGTGCTATAGAAGGGATGTGTGCTGTGTTAAGACAAGAGATATTTTGAAGGGAGAAGGGTACGTACTGGTAGAATTCCGAATCGAAGCGTACGGAGTATCCGTTGGAATGTTCAGTTCGTTGCTCCTTACGGTGCCCACGAGGACTTCACCAGCGGCAATCTAGACAATTTCAGAACGACCCGGTTAGGTGTTGTTTTGAACCATAGAGATATACAGAACCGACGTCTATCCGCAGGTGGTAGCCGTCGAGTCCGGTACTTAGCAGGTTGGTAATGGGGAAAGTCTGGATAATGGCGTTCGTTGAGGTGTTGACGACGACGACTGTGCCTGTCGCAACGCTGGAGTAGAGGTATTGTTCTAGCAACATATATGCGAAGGAAGTCACTACTCATACAGTCATTGAAGCACGAGGTCTAAGATTTGTTCTCGTGCCGTGGAGTCCTGCAATCGGATAGTTAGGTTGTGTCGGATACACGGAACGAGATATGTATGCTCACTCTTTGGGGGCGAGGGGGGAGTCCAGCAGCGAACCTCTTCGCATTGGTCATTCGCTCACCGTCTGAGCGTGTTTCCAGCAGCGGAGGGGTGTCTTTAGCTGGTAGAGAGCGAGCCGAGACTACAGCTGCGGTTACAAAGCCCGCGGCGATAGCCACAGTGGCGACAATAGTCAAAGGGGTCAAGTATCGCATGTTTGGATGCTGGGGAGGGGGGCAGAAAAGCGACGGGAACACGACAGGATGTGCCAGTCGAAGATATTTAAACGCCAGGCCCCAGTCCATGACCACGGCTAAACATGATAATCACTGGACACGACGTCCAATGGGCCGACGCTGGAGATTAGCAGAGTTGGCGCTTTGATGGCATCGAATCTATTGCCACACCCCGAGGTTCTTCAAGCAGGGGCGACTCAAAGTCGAGCATAATGCGTAGGTCCGAGCGTCTACATGTCGGAGACGGGAGAAGGTGAAGGTACATGGGTGCACACACTTATTGGATTCCCAGAGAGGTCCCTATAAGCTAATGGTCGTGCGTTGCAGCTTAAGCGCCAGTAAATCAAAATCCCCATCATAGGTATGATGGATTCCGAGGATGACTCAAACGAACCGTATCAGACTATTCGAATTTCGAACCGACACGTCCACAGGACCATCCTAGTTGCCGTATGTTCCGTGCATACCGCTGTCACAAGTACAGTAACTGGAAACAGATGCCGCGCTATCATTTGATAGATTGGAGACTTCATGAGGTGGTTGAGTGTTCTCAAGTTCTAGACGCGTCATGTCATCACGTGATGTACCTGTCGCGAACTCTACCAAGTGCTCGACGTGGTAGATGTACAGTACAGCCTATAGAATGTTGACATTGGATGGATCAACTCTTCCCAGTGAATCCTAAAAGAATAACAACAACATGGCGGGACAGTCCAAGGGAATAGCCCTCGAAACACCCGAGTGTAGTGTACACAAGAAAGACTAAAAAAAGATCAATGTCCCTGTTCGGGGTCGAACCGAAGACCTTGTCCGTGTGAAGGACACGTGATAACCACTACACCACAGAGACTTGGTTGTAGAGCAACACGATCTTTATGCCCTCGGCAGCATAAACAGAAACCCCACCCCCATTGTAGCTTAAAAAAGTACGTTCTCATCACTGCAACAAAAAGGGACAATCATCATGCATCTCGATCCATAGAGTCCGTTTCGTTACGAATGAGTAAATAAGAAACGAGTGGAAGCGGGTCGGAAAGCAATAATGGTCCAGCAATAAATCATAGAAATGTCCGCTGGGTGTGGGGAGGGCGGGTTGCAAGAGTGATGAAGGGCAAAAATGGCGGAGGGGGCGAAGGAAGAAGTCGCGGGGGAGGCAGTTTTGCTCTCAAACTATCCTACAACTCAAAACTTGGCATAACGACGAAGAAAAAAAGTCTAGTTGGCGGCAGTTGCGGGGCAGTTTGGAATGGTCACATTCTTCAGTTGGCTCCTGAGAATCGAGCGACGAGTTATCAGTAACACTCTCCATGCCGGGCGTGCCGAATGGTAGGTCAGGGACAGAACACACGCACTTCGAATCGAAAAGACCCCACCAACCCTCTACACCTCCGTACAATTGGTCTTTCCATGGTTGGTCCATGTTCTCGAACCAGCTACAAGTGGCAGAAAGTAGAGGCAGATCAGAGTCAGTGTATGCAACTTCCCAGAAAGAAGGTCGGCAGGAACGTACAAGTACTTCGTGCCGTTGTTATTGGCAGTGCAGATCCAGTTATCCATGAAGGTTTGGAGGGTAGGAATGTCGGCCTTGGATGGACCGTCCGTAGCATGTGCCGCATCCGAAGATTGCTAAGGAGACGAGGGGAGTCAACGGTGTGATCGTGGCGCGGAAAATGAGAAAGGGATACGGACCGATGGCCATCCAATTTCAGCAATGATCAACTCGGGATGGTTGGGAGTCTTGTTAGCAAGGGCAACGTTATTGTCCTGGAAGAATTGCCAGGCTGGGAAGCAAAGTGTTAATACGAAATCCCTGTACGTGTAATGTACGCATGGTAACTGCATACTCACTCCATCCAGCGGCCTGGTCCACGGCCAGATTTCCGAACCTTTAAACACCGCAAGGAACTCAGTCCAACAGCCTTGCGGGTGTATCCGAGAGAAATCTGATTACGCACCAGGGATGAATATTGCTCATGAAGTAATCGACTGCACTTAGTAACTGGATGTTGGTGTAACTTCCAGCGTCACCATTGCCAACTGGAATCGTCTTGGGTAGACTGAGCGAAGCAAGCATACTTCGTACATCCTGGATTTTAGCAATAAGGAACTCCGCAGCAGCAACGCCCGTGGGGCTGGTAGGGTCCTGGCTGTTTGCGGCAGTGAGGTTGTTCAAGATGAACCTATTGAACAACGGTCAGTTCAATGGTCCGCCGAATGGTGCAACAGACACCCTACTCATTGCCGACAGTAATGCCGAGGACGTGCTTTGTATCGTAGGTCTGAAGGATACGCCTATTGGACAAAACATGAGCTTTCTCACACAGCAAAATGGGGGAGGCACTGCGTACTTGGTCGCATCGCGCTGACGGGCATATACAGTATCGTCGTTGTCAATATAGATCCCAATATAAACGGAAAGGTTGGTCTTGGTCTGCTGGATCGCATCTAGTACGAGATCGGTGACGCTACAGATGCGGCCTTGATTAGCCAAGATCATCGGTCTAGAACAAAGAAAAACTCACTTGCAATCAGTTCCATAGAGCCGGACGCGCTAAGAGGCAAACATGGTAAGCGCGCGTCAAATGCATGGAGTGCATAGATCGCGTACAGTGGTCAACTGGCTCATGAGGTAGACGTCCTCGAGAACCTTGTCAAAGGTTGCGCCACAGTTGGGCAGAATGGCGCCGTCGGGCGTGTACGCCATGCCGTACAAGGACATTGACAACCTCGGATCCTTCTGGAACTGGGATAGATCCTTGGGGTTGTACTTGACGACGTTATTGACGGACATCACCCAGTCCTTGGTGTTTGCCGGCGACGTCCCATTGGCAGCAGAAGATGTTGACGAAGACGGCTTGGACGATTTGTGCGAGACGGCAACGCCTACACCGACCGCCACAGCAATGATGATGACGAGAACGACACCGCCGATGATGAACCATTTCCGTTTGCTTCCGCTTCCAGAATTAGGTTTCTCGGACCACATCGGACCATTATTACCTTCGTCGGAATAAGTCATTGGGTTGTTGTATCTTGAAGTAGTTACGGGCGAATAGCCTCCTGAGGTAGGATTGGTAGGGAACGAACGAGGTTGGGGATTGAACTGATCGGTAGAGGAATTGTACGGTGGATATATGTTGGAACCCCAAGCGTTCTGGTTGTACTTATATTGGCAACGGCCACAAAGGAAAGAGGGGGAGAAAAGAAGAATGAGTCTCGGGTGTACGTTGGCGGTTTATGACGGCGTCGGTACAAGGCGGGGTCGCGTTGCAGAAGAGTGGCGCAGATGCCGGCAGAATGGAAGGAAGAACGAATGGAACTCACAGCAGCTGTTTGGTGGCCTGGCGTATGTAACGAAAGGCGGCGTCAGTATTCGTAGCTGTGCGTGTGCGCAACGAGACAGCGTGACAGATCTCGGATCAGGGGCACGAACCTTGGTTTGGATCTGGTCTGCGGGGATCGTCAAGGTCGGAATAAGTTTGCATATGGGCCATTTCGTCGTCGTCGTCGTCGTAGCGTTAGGATGATCGTTGAGGAGGAGGGAATGTTGGAAGGTCAGAAGGCGTTCAGGGGGTTCGTTCGGCTGAACTGCGGTTTGTTGGTTCGCGTAGCCTAAGAATAACACTCACCAACGACACAGTCGGTGAGCAACGAGTGCAATGGGGGAAGGTGTTCGGAGGGGGACGTTGAGGTGCGACGTGGGCTGCAACCGTGGTATTTCAAGCTCGTCCATCGGCGCTGCGGATTTCCAAGTTGGTCTCAAGTTGCCGACAAGAGTGCCAAATTCGTCCCAAGTCAAAGTAAACACTGCCGTACATAGTATACCCTAGAGAAAGAGAAGGAGTAATGGAAAGTACAGTAGGAAAGCGTCCGTGAGCGCTGGACATAATGCATAAGACGTCGTCACAAAAGGAGAAAAGGGGGTAGCTGTGGATGACAAGCGAAGGGGATATAGACCGCAACCCAAGCTACCGATAGCGGAAAGAATAAGAAGCCTTGCGTCGCAACTAAAAGCCATTATTCTAGACGGTAGCGGCAAGAAGGGTGAGCATAGAAAAATAAGGTATGGCCAAAACAAATAAACGCAGTACTTCCAAGAAACCCGCTTGGCGACTTCCTACCGTCCCTCGGATCCCTCTGCAGACATCTTGGGTTCCTGTTGGCTCTTCGGTTGTCGCCGCCGGGTCGATGTCGGTGGTGCATCGGGTGTGGGGGACCCAGACGAGTCCGCGCCACGCAAACTTGAGCGACGACTTGGCAGCGTCGTTGACCGTTTCACCGAGGCACCACCTGCAACAATAGGCTCATCTTGGGAGCTCCGAACTTCAAGGCTTATTTTCGGTCCCTGAACGTCTCCGAAACCTCCGTATCCCGAACGATCATCATCCGTCTTTGATCGAACAGATGGTCGTCTCAGGGAACCGCGATCTACTGTTGTATGTCTTCTGTCAATGGTGGACGACTATCCAGGCATGGCACCTTTTGTTAGCAAAATCGTCAAGCATGAACTGGTGTGCGCACCGTACTCGGGTCTCTTACCTTGACCGTTTCAACCATCTTCCAGCTACCTTCCGCAGGGTCGTCACCCTTTTCCGTAGGTACGATCAACACATCCTGTGCCGTCGGCTGCAGCGGACCAAGGATCGAATCCCGGCGCGGAGGGGGAGAAACATCCATCATGAACCAATCTTGTTGGGCAATCAAGAACTCCAACACCTCCTGGCTCAGGCGATGTTCCGTAGGGGCCAATTCGTGCGAAGGGTGGTTAATGATCCCAGGTCGGAATATCGTCGCCAGATCTGAGAGGGTCTGTTAGTCCCAAAGGTGAAGAGCGCGTGGCGACGACTGACTCTGAGCCGTCATCAAGTTCTTGTCCGCTTTCCTGGCAAACACGGACAGGAGGTCCAGCACATAAAGGAGGAGGTATTGATTGGCACGCGGCAACGATTGAATTAACCGTTTGTACGTTTCAATCTTGTCCTGCTGAGATAGCTGTGGCTGTCGTGATAGTACGTTCCGGAAGTCGTGATACCGGTCGTGAGGGATAACAGGTTCCTATGATGTGCCGCCGCGGTTAGTGACGCGGGGGGCGCACGTGAATGGGTGACACGTACGGGCATCTGGGTCAGGTATCGACGGAAGACGCTCGCGACGTCATGCGTTGTAAACTGTCTCTTGCTCCAGTCTAGATCCTTGCCGTACTGCAAAGCCACACGGAGTGAGCGTTTGCCGTCTTGGCATATGTCCACGGAGGCTTACCCGAGGTGGTGTGTCGAAGAGGACTTGCAGTTCCCGCATCCGCTTATTCGAGCCATTGACACGGAAAGTTCCCTCTACCTCTGTGGCTATATCAGGGGCGAAACGAGGTCAGTAAACGCGATAGACTCGTGAAAGTATTGCGATCGGGGAAACGCAAACGTACCGTTCTCCTTGAGATAGAGCCCACTGATATCGTGGCGGAAGGTAGACGGGTGATGGTGGGTCAGTCCGAATTCGAACGGTGCCTTCTCAGGGAAGCGAACGACGTGTGGGTGTGTAACGAGGGAAAGCTCACCATTTCGCGACGACTACGGGGACATAACCCCATACATACAGTTCTCCTTGGGCATTTGCGGTGGAAATATGGACGCTAGCGCACCGCAGACTCTCACGAAGGGGCTTGCCAAATACAGTGGAGCCAGCCGAGACTGGAACGAGACAGGTTAGAATTCTCTCCTATGGCGCGAGGCGGGAATGAGAGGAAGCATGGACTCACTCTTGGCAACAGAAGGATTGACGTGAGGATTCTTTTTCATCTTTTGCATAAAGGTAAACTGCTTCCACCAGGCTTTCAAGCTGGCCTTGGACGGC